CCTCGACGCGGAAACCCTTCGTCTCTCTCTCTTCTTCTCTTCTTCTCTTCTCTTCCTCTCCTCCTCTTTTCCTCTTTTCCTCGACGCGGAAACCCTTCGTCTCTCTTTCTCTCTTCTTCTCTTCCTCTTTTCCTCGTTTCCTCTTTTCCTTGACATGGAAACCCTTCGTCTCTTTCTCTCTCTCCCATCTTCTCTTCTTCTCTCTCTCCCTTCTTCTCTTCTTCTCTTCCTCTCTTCCTTTCTCCTCTTTTCCTCTCTTCGCGGGAACTTCCTCGACGTCCGAAGCAGTTAGTGCAGGGAACCGATCGGAACCAACGGGGACCAGCGGGAACCAACGGGAACCAGCGGGGACCAGCGGGGTAGTTTGAAAGATCGTTGGAACGAAGCGAGTGGAAAATGATCCACCGATCGAGGTTCCATCGTCGACGTTCCTAACGAGCGAGCGTCCGTTTCGTCGATCCTCGTTTCCTAGAATTAATGACACGAGTTAGGCCGGAGGAACGCGATACTCGTGGTCTGGAAAGTTCAGCTCGCGCCGGGATGCGTGGAAGGTATCGGTGGTCCGCGCGGACGCACCATTAACCCCCTTAACAGCTTGTTAAGAGCCGGGAGCTGGAACAGATGCGCGGAAAACAGTCTGCGAGGCTATTTTTCTACGCGCGCTTGGGAACGAAGATGTAGAGTACGTAGGTGTCTACGTTGATCGTACCAGTGAAATACTTGTTGGAAGGTTTCAACGGTGATCCGTGAATTGATATTTCTTTCTTGCGAGATGCCTTTGGTTCGCTTGCTTGCAATAGGAAACTGTCCTGAGATGTCTGTGAATAAGAATTTTAATTAATCGAGGACGAGTTAGTAATGTGATGGAAAAGAAAGATGGAGAATGGTGTTACCTTTGCAATGAGTAGGGAGCTTAGAGGAGTACATCATACATAGTAGCTTGATCGACTAGAAATACCTACAGTCTTATATTAATAACAATTCTTCGTCAGGAACAATCTTTCCTTACCACTGAATATTCTCTTTGCATTGGCACCTTGTTAAATACATAGCAGTATCTTGATCACCTAGAAATTCCAACGACCCTATATTAATAACAATTCCCCATTACAGCCAATCTTTCATTACCACTGAAATTCTCCTTGCCTTCATTATCTTATTAAATCACACATACCAATAAAGCTCGATCACCTAGAATCACCAGCAACCCTATATTAACAACAATTCTCCATTACAACTAATCTTTCCATACTGAAAATTCTCCTTACCTTTATTATCTTATTAAATCATACATACCAATAACCCAGTTCAATCACCTAGAAACTCCAACAACCCTATATTAACCACAATTCTCCATTAAAATATCTCTGAAAATTGTCCTTGCCATCGTCACTTCGTTAAACCATCCACAGCAGTAACTCGATCACCTAGAAACACCAACAACCCTGTATTAACAACAATTCTCCATTAAAAAATGTTTCCTTAGAGAAAATTCTCCTTGCCATCGTCACCTTATTAAATCATACATACCAATAACCCTATATTAATAACAATACTCCATAAAAAAATCTTCCCTTATCCACTGAAAATTCAGCTCATCTCAAATTCTCCTTACTGAAAATCCTCCTTGTCATCGTCACCTTGTTAAACCATCCACAGTAACTCGGTCACCTAAACACCAACAACCTCATATTAACAACGATCCCATTCAAAAATCATTCCTCCCTAAAAATCCAGCTCATCTCAATGTTTCCTTACTAAAAATTCTCCTTGCCATCACCTCGTTAAACCATCAACAGCAGTAACTCGATCACCTATAAACACCAGCAACCCCATATCAACAACAGTTCCATTAAAAAATCCTTCCTCCCTAAAAATCGAGCTCATCGCGCATCGAAGCGCGACTTCCGACCGGCAGCGATCCCGCCCAGCGTGCGCCGCCGACGAACAATGGCGAACGTCCCCGAGCACGGGCCGGCCGGCAAGCTCGGC